GCAACAAGAGTTTTTCGCAAAGAAATCATTTGACCAAACACAGTCGTGTTCACACTGGTGAGAAACCTTATTGTTGTAGTATATGCAACAAGAGTTTTTCCTTTAGAAGTCAACTGACTGAACACAGTCGTGTTCACACTGGTGAGAAACCTTATTCTTGCAGTTTGTGCAACAAGAGTTTTTCGCTAAAAAGTCCTCTGACTAAACACAGTCGTGTTCACACTGGTGAGAAACCTTATTCTTGTAGTATATGCAGCAAGAATTTTTCGCATAAAAGTAATCTGAATAATCATAGTCGTGTTCACACTGGTGAGAAACCTTATTCTTGTAGTATATGCAACAAGAGTGTTTTGAAAAAAAGTTATTTGACTAAACACAGTCGTGTTCATACTGGAGAAAAGCCTTATTCTTGTAGTGAATGCAACAAGAGTTTTTCGTTTAAAAGTCATCTGACTGAACACAGTCGTGTTCACACTGGTGAGAAACCTTATTCTTGTAGTATATGCAATAAGAGTTTTTCACAAAATAGTGATCTGACTAAACATAGTCGTGTTCACACTGGTGAGAAACCTCATTCTTGCACTATATGCAACAAAAGTTATTCGCATAAAAGTTCTCTCACTGTACACAGTCGTGTTCACACTGGTGAGAAACCTTATTCTTGTAGTATNATTTTCAAATTATATCAAGTTTGAACTCCGGGTAGACAGGAACATGTTGAGGGGGTCGATATGCGGACTGTATTTTACGATTGATTAAGTACAAACGATAACTATTTAACAATTTATTAACAAACGATGAATGACGCCATTTGAAGACGTCCGACGATATCAAAAACAAAAACAACAAGAGCTCTTCTTTTCGCCAAATGAAAAGATAAACGAAGCCAAAGCCGATAGAGGCGCCAACATACTGTAAAGAGTTTTTCATGCTAAAGTTATCTAAGCACAGTTATGTTCATACTAGTGAAAAGTCTTATCTGTGCAGTATATGTACCTAATAAGAGTTTGTCACGTAGAGGTCATCTGACTGAGCACTTTGTGTTCATACTTGAGAGAAGCATTATTCTTGTTGTATATGTAATAAAAGTTTTACTCACAATAGTAATCTAATGAAACACAGCATTGTTCATTCTAGTGAGAAACCTGATTCGTGTAGTTAATTATTTACTCCGTATTCCCCGTTGACACTGACCTTACGCGAAACCACGGTTTCGAAATGTTGACCACGATTCAAAAATTGTATTTTTCATTCTTTTTGGACACTCTGTTTCCTAACTGGGGGTTTCTTAACTCACTGTTTACTTGCAGTCCGTGTTAGATTTACAGCTTTATTAACTTATTTGTGAAAACCTTTAGCGTGGCGGACACCTGGCCGCCTTAGGCGGCTAGTAGAATAATAAAAATACAATATACACTAATGGCCAATAAAATTGCTACACCAGGAAGGAATGCAAATAACAGAATGATATTTATTGGGAACATACATTATAGTTGAAGAGCAAGTGATTACATTTTCAGGATATTTGGATGTATAGATACTGAGGAATCATTAGAGCTGCCTCCCCTGACAGCAATAACAGCTGTTATTCTCCTGGTGTTGCGAAGGCGAACTTTAAATTTTCTAACAATATTGAACTACGACTCACAAGAAGAAGATACAGGTTCTTTTAGACAAGAGCACATTTATTTACTTGACGAGGACATTTTACATAGGAAGAATAACTATTTTAGACATCGTTTTTACTTGTTAACTTATCGATTGTTTGTTCTATAATATTTTTATATTTTGTTGCCGTTCCATTGCAACTAAACTATTTCCCATGAAATATTACCTATGCGAACCCGCAACACCTGGGCATCAAGTTGAACAGAGATTGGATTTACTGATTAATCTTCCTTTGTTTAATGTTTGTATTAAAGAGTCAAACAATATTAATAAAACATTATACTTTTAGAAACAAATATTTTCTAGTAGATTTAATTATCAATATGTTATTATTAGTTCGATGTTTATTTTACCTCTTAAATATTGTTCAGATAAAATTGTTACATTATTTGAGTAAAAGGGTTTTGGACAGGCCGGTTTAAACCGTGGATTAATCCATTTTGTCCTAAACCTTGCCAACCCTGCTTTATAGTAATACATAATCAGGGCTCAAAGTAATCCTTACTTTTCTTTTTAAAAGAAAGAAAGTATTCTTAATTATTAAACATTTCAATAGATGTCCTGAAATTTTTGTGATTTTAAAATTTTGTTGAAATTAACAGGGAGAAAAATTATTGAAAATCTAAAAAAGAATTGAAGAAATTTCATGAAACAAAGTAAATAACAAAAAGAACTACGAAGTCTTTATAGCTCTCAAGTACGATATTAATCTACTTCCAGTATTAGAGACAATTACTCTTATTTGATTCGATGTGTGAGAGGAATATAGAAAAATCTCTTATCTCACTACTCCCCCCTCATTGCTACATCATACTCTACTGTTTCTCAGAAGAAAATCCTTGTATTTTGCGACAATTTAACGATTTTCTATATTTAGACAATTTTATTCTCTTTTTTGTAAAAAAGAAAACACATTTTTAAAAAATATTTCTTTTTTCACTTAAGTACAGGTACAACTAAAATTATTACCAATTGTATATTTGCGAAATCATGTACATATTGTACAGTGGACCGGAAAAAAAAAAAGATAACTTTCCCTCATCACCACCCTCAATAACTTTCGCTCTAATGATTTGATTTTCACGTACTAAGTGTCAATCTTAATGGTTCCTCAGGAACCTCATATATGAAAATTAATTAGTTCTATTCGAAATTCAGTTTCGAAATGTATAGAAACATAGGAATGTTATTTACGACTCATTCTTACTCAAGAAAACCGTGTAACTTAAATATTTGTCAGAATTCAAATGACCTTTAATAATATAATAATAAAAATACAATGTACACTAATGGCCAATAAAATTGCTACACAAGAAGGAATGCAAATAGCAGAATGATATTTATTGGGAATATACATTATATTGGGAATATTGCGGGTGCATTAAAACATGGGACCTTATTTATTAAGCTTTGCAAATCGAGAGGTGATCTAAAGAAAGGGTGGGTTTAAATATTCCCCTTTTTTAAGAGCACATTTAGACCAAGTTAGAATGTCTCCACATCCTAGGAAAAGTATTTATAAATATTAAGGAATAAAAACTCTAACTATAATATCAATATTTGAATTTCCTTATAGTTCTACCATTCTAATTTAAAATTGAATTTTACATTACAACAGAAATTTATCGTGACAAAAAGTTTAGGACCAAATATTGAATTCGTGAAAGTTTACTCTGAATTAGTTTGTATAGAATAGAACACCGTTAACATATATTTTAAGAATTCGTATCAAAGATGACAACAAAAATGTAATGAAATGGGAGTTGCAAATTTTTTAAAGCACTAAAAACAAAAATTCTACGAAATTTAACAAATCAAATGGAATAAAGAGGATGTAATAAATACTAAAAATGACTTAATTATAGGTGTTTTTAAACTCTTCTCTATTTCTTGTTCCTTACACCCACCTTCTAGCGTTTTTGTACTATAGTCGGATAAAGATTAATTTGCGACCCTTACCTAGTAAACTTCTTTGTTTTAGCTTAGGATTATGGTAAAGCATATGAAAAGTGGTCTCAGCTATTGATAATAGCATGACTGTGTCATAGTTACGGAGTTATTATTAAAACTTTCATTAAACCAGAAAAGACATTTATATTAAAAAAAATCATCTAGTATAATAAGGGATACTAACAAGCTTGAAACTAAATGGTTACATGTGTTTATATAGTAAATAAAATAACTGTAAGATTTTAATTATTAAACATTTTTTATCGATATTTTATTTTTCAGCAATACCAGGGTGCACTGAAGTAAGTCTCTCAAAGAGTTTGAAGAAAAGAGGACGCCTAAAAGACAAGTTGTTTAACAAAAATAGCGTGAAGTTGCAAATAATGCCAGCGTGATAATACCAATTACGTGAATAAATAGAAAGTATTTGTTTATATGAGTTTTCATAGATAATTTTATAATTTATAAGCTTGCCCTTCGTATGTATGTACTTATTCCTCCTCTCATTCTGACTGGAAATTCGACCTTGTTTTCGATTTGTTTTTATAAAATACAGATGATAAAAGCTATGTAAGAAATAGGGTTTAAATGTGCATAAAATAACTGTAAGATTTTAATTATTAAAATTTTTTTATCGATCTTTTATTTTTCAGCAATACCAGGGTGCACTGGAGTAAGTATCTCAAAGAGTTTGAAGAAAAGAGGACGCCTAAAAGACAAGTTGTTAAACAATGATAGCGTGAAAGTTGCAAATAATACCAATTACGTGAATAAATAGAAAGTATTTAGTTATATAAGTTTTCATAGATAATTTTATAATTTATAAGCTTGCCCTTCGTATGTATGTACTTATTCCCCCTCTCATTCTGACTGGAAATTCGACCTTGTTTTCGATTTGTTTTATAAAATACAGATGATAAAATCTATGTAAGAAATAGGGTTTAAATGTGCATCAGTAGTTTTCTGAAAATTATGCAAGATTCAAAAAGTTTTTTCTCTGAATATATTAGTTACATGATCAGCTAGCAGTAAAAATTGAAGAATATAACAAAAACGGAATTATTTTTTATTAAATTTATTAGTAAAGTTTTCTCTTTATTATATTTGAAGAACAACGACATCAACTTACTGTATTTAAAATGTCGTACTTAAGTTTTTACATACCTGTTACCACAATTCGTTGTAAAATTCTGTTCTGTTCGCTAGGCTTCAATTTTAAATTTGATATATTTCTTTAATACAAAAATTCAAATATATAAGAAGAATAAATTAAGGAGGTATTGAATCTATCTTATTTTTCGGTTGGTTAAAACTTGGTAAGTATGTATACTCTTTTATTCGCTGGAATCCTTTAGAAAGGAAACATGAGTACATATAAATATACAGTACATTTATTTGATTTAAATTAACTCCCTTGTATATTGTAAAGATTTTAAAAAAATAATTATTAGNAGAAGAGTAAATTAAGGAGGTATTGAATCTATCTTATTTTTCGGTTGGCTAAAGCTTGGTAAATATGCATACTCTTTTATTCGCTGGAATCCTTTAGAAAGGAAAAGTGAGTACATATAAACAAACAGTACATTTATTTGATTTAAATTAACTCCCTTGTATCTTTTTTGTTTTGTGCCATTTTTGAAGAATATAACTCTGTTGTTCTCTAATCCTGGCTGTTAATATATATTTTACGAATCCTTATAAGAAATGGAATAAAAAACTTGTGTAAGGATCAAATTAATATTTAGAAGAGAAAGGACAAACACGCTGCTGAACTTTGATCAAAAACATGATATAACGAGGTTAATTAGAGATGAAGGATTAAAATCATCTAAAATTAATTTTATCGAGAACAAAATTTTTAAGGCGTTGTTTTGAAAGCCAAGTATATTTCAAAAAAATCAACAGATTTTTTTTTTGTCTTTTCCTGACTCAAAGAATATTTAGTTAGAATTTTTTTTTCTCCAGATATATCAGACATTTCAATATATCAGATATTTCAATATAATATACTAGAATAAGTTGTTAGTAAAATAATAAAATCATAGCAATCCAAGTACTTAATATTTTGAATTTTATC